CTTACCGGTACGATATGGTGTTTATAGAAAAATAATCTATTTACTTAATAAATTACGGGTAAGATGTTGCGTTCTTAGATATATAAGCACTTTACACTATAACTTACCGGTAAGATATGGTGTTTTTAGAAAAATAGACAATTCACTAAATAAATTACAGGTATAATGTTTCGTTCTCAGATATATAGGCCTTTTACACTATAACTTACAGTTAAGATATGGTGTTTTTGGAAAATTAGGCTATGTACTTAATAAGTTATGGGTAAGATGTAGCGTTCTTCGATATATTGGCTTTTTACACTGTAACATACCGGCAAGATATGGTGTTTATGGAAAATTAAGCTATTTACTTAATAAATTAAGGGTAAGATGTTGCGTTCTCAGATTTATTGGCTTTTACACTATAACTTACCGGTAAGATATGGTGTTTTTGGGAAATTAGGCTATTTACTTAATAAATTACTTGTAAGATGTTGCGTTCTCTGATATATAGGCTTTTTACACTATAACTTACCGGCAAGATATGATGTTTTGGAAAATTAGGCTATTCACTTAATAAATTATGGGTCAGATGTTGCGTTCTCAGATTTATAGGCTTTTTACACTAAAACTTACCGGTAAGATATGGTGTTTTTTGAAAATTAGGCTATTTACTTAATAACTTACTTGTAAGATGTTGCGTTCTTTGAGATATAGGCTTTTTACACTATAACTTCCCGGTAAAATATGGTGTTTTTTGAAAATTAGGCTATTATTTAATAAATTATGTGTAAGATGTTGCGTTCTAAGATATATAGGCTTTTTACACTATAACTTACCGGTAAGATATGATGTTTTTGAAAATTAGGCAATTTACTTAAAAATTACGGGTAAGATGTTGCGTTCTTAGATATACAGTCTTTTTACCCTATAACTTACCGGCAAGATATGGTGTTTTTGGAAAATTAGGCTATTTACTTAATAAATTAAGGGTAAGATGTTGCGTTCTCAGATTTGTAGGCTTTTTACACTATAACTTACCAGTAAGATATGGTGTTTTGGATACTTAGGCTATTTACTTAATAAATTACTTGCAAGATGTTGCGTTCTCTGATATATAGGCTTTTTACACTATAAATTACCGGTAAGATATGGTGTTTTTGGAAAATTAGGGTATTTAGTGAATAAATTACAGATAAGATGTTGCGTTCTTAGATATATAGGCTTTTTACACTATAACTTACCGGCAAGATATGGTGTTTTTGGAAAATTAGGCTTTTACTCAATAAATTATGGGTAAGATGTTGCGTTATGCGTTTTACACTATAAGTTACCTATAAGATATGGTGTTTTTAGAAAAATTGGCTATTTAGTCAAAAAATTACGGGTAAGATGTTGCCTTCTCAGATATATAGGCACTTTACATTACAACTTACCGATAAGACATGGTGTTTTCCGAAAAATATGCAATTCACGTAATAAATTACGGGTAAGATGTTGCGTTCTCAGATATATAGGCTTTTTACACTATAACTTACCGGTACGATGTGTGTTTTAGAAAAATAATCTATTTACTTAATAAATTACGGGGTAAGATGTTGCGTTCTTAGATATAAGCACTTTACACTATAAACTTACCGGTAAGATATGGTGTTTTGGAAAATAGCAATTCACTAATAAATTAAGGTATAATGTTGCGTTCTCAGATATATAGGCTTTTTACACTATAACTTACAGTTAAGATATGTGTGTTTGGAAAATTAGGCTATGTACTTAAATAAATTATGGTAAGATGTTGCGTTCTTCAGATATATTGGCTTTTTACACTATAACTACCGGCAAGATATGGGTTTTTGGAAAATTAGGCTATTTACTTAATAAATTAGGGTAAGATGTTGCGTTCTCAGATTTATGGCTTTTACACTATAACTTACCGGTAAGATATGGTGTTTTTGGGAAATTAGGCTATTTACTTAATAAATTACGTGTAAGATGTTGCGTTCTCTGATATATATGGCTTTTTTACACTATAACTTATGGTAAGATATGTGTTTTTGGAAAATTAGGATATTTACTTAATAAATTACGGGTAAGATGTTGCGTTCTCGAATATATGCTTTTTACACTATAATTACGGTAAGATATGGTGTTTTTGCGAAAAATAGGCTATTTACTCAAAACTACGTGTAAGATGTTGCGTTCTCAGATATATAGCACTTTACAGTATAACTTAGGTAAGATATGGTGTTTTTTGAAAAATTAGGCTATTACTTAATAAATTAGGGTAAGATGTTGCGTTCTCAGATATATAGGCTTTTTAGACTATTACTTACCGGTAAGAGATATGATGTTTTTAGAAAAATAAGCTATTTACTCAATAACTACGTTTAGATGTTGCGTTCTCAGATTTTTTTTTTTTTTTTTTTTTTTTTTTTTTTTTTTTTTTTTTTTTTTTTTTTTTTTTTTTTTTTTTTTTTTTTTTTTTTTTTTTTTTTTTTTTTTTTTTTTTTTTTTTTTTTTTTTTTTTTTTTTTTTTTTTTTTTTTTTTTTTTTTTTTTTTTTTTTTTTTTTTTTTTTTTTTTTTTTTTTTTTTTTTTTTTTTTTTTTTTTTTTTTTTTTTTTTTTTTTTTTTTTTTTTTTTTTTTTTTTTTTTTTTTTTTTTTTTTTTTTTTTTTTTTTTTTTTTTTTTTTTTTTTTTTTTTTTTTTTTTTTTTTTTTTTTTTTTTTTTTTTTTTTTTTTTTTTTTTTTTTTTTTTTTTTTTTTTTTTTTTTTTTTTTTTTTTTTTTTTTTTTAAAATTTTCACACATTACATGATGCGGACCTTGAAATTGACTTCAGAAAAATTGTTGGGTGGATCAAGGTAAATTAGAAAACCTTTGGAGTTTTACTTTTTTTCTAATTTTGCTAGTTCGGGAGTTATATGATGTCACGGCTTGGTGTCTTCTCATTAGCTATATATACTCATAATAAAGAGAAAAATTAATTTATGTGCAGGATGGCATTACGTATTTGTGGTTGGCTTTTTGCCGCTGATTGTGATGCCCTTAAGGTCCATTAATTCAAGGTGGAGTTAATAATTAACGCTGATAGGGAGGAAAATGAAATCATCTAATAAGTTTGTGGTGGGGCTGACAGCTTCTGCTGTTTGTGGGTCAAGAGCGGAGCACATAATTACCACTTTGGCTTAGGGGGACCCAAGGGACAACAAGGTTGATCAAGAACAAGAGTGAAGCCTTCAGATGAACAACTTTTGGTTTAACAACCCTCGCATTGTCCTAATTTTGATCCACTTCATATTGTTCAGAATTTTCATTTGAGATTGCTTATTTCTTCTGGATTTGGGTACGGTAACTAGATATATCTTACAATTCTTCGGTAGGTTGGGCATTAATTTCTGCATTGATGTGATGATCAGCTTCACTGCTTTGCAGAGCACGTATGGATCATTCATGCATTGGGAGAAGTTGGGTTACATCATACAAGACTTATTATGGGGTAATCTATAACCAAAGAATTGGAGAACACAAAAAGCTGAATATGAAATTGAACTATTGCTTTGCTTTGCTTGCTTAGGTATGCCTTTGTTCCATCATTCTCTGCAGTGTGATTGTTCAAGTGCTTTGCAGTTACAGCACCCTACGTTGTATGTTATCGTACACCAGGGTTAGACTCTCTCTCTCTCTCTCTCTCTCTCTCATCTGTGCGTGCTGTTTTCCTTGGTCTTTGTCATTTCACTTGTACAAATTCTCATTTTTATCTTTACTCAGGTATGGATGATGATGAAGATGGGTCCATTCAAGGAAGGAATGTTTGATAAATTAATACAAAATGGAATGGTATGTGGGCTGCAGATATAAGGAGTCACCATGACAAAACAGACGGCGAGGGATATCTGTTCAGAGAGGACAGAGATGACACAAATGGTGAAATAGAATTATCTCAAATTGTTGATATACACCACAAGAAACCGTTGCACCAAGACAAGAAACGGTCCCTCAGGTCCAACCGCCATTTTTCATCGTCTCAAGCTCAACTTTCTTCATGATTATCTATTATCATTTATAATTTCATGTAATGTAAGGTATAGCTTAAATTATTATGTGGCCCAGCCCAAATATAACATATTTCATTGTCATTCAAATGTCTGCGCTCATTCGTCCGAAATAAACTATGAAACTAAGCTTGCTTTGCTTACATCAAAATACTGCATCCTCCTCACCTTATTACTACTATGCGTTCTTAATCTCTCTCTTGCAATAGTACATTTCACAATTATGAGATGCAAGTGGCACTCTACCACACAAGAAAAACTTTGTTACAACGAGGATAATACTATTTTGCTATCCCTGCCAATAATGCTAGGCCACATGGAAGTGTTATCACACGTATCTTAGCGTTATTGGCCGAGATGAAAATAGTGCTATCCCCATTTCATGGAAGTCTTTCTCCTACCACACACATTTCACAAGTGGTCTCCCAGGCGTTGGATAATTTTAAAAGAAATCCAATGGTGAATTTGCCGTGTGCATCAAAAATGACATCCCTGATCCAATTGATTTTAAGTGAAGCAACACACACCAGAAGTCATAAAGATGCTTTCACATTACGATATTTACAGGAAATCAATCGAAATATCCAAATCTCTAGTTCTGCAGCTAGTCGAGAAGGCTCGCGGCAGATTAGAAAAATAAAAAAGTAAAAAATTAGCTGAGAAGTCCTCTCCATCAGAGTATCTTCTTATGGCATTTGCAGCAAAGAAACCAGGTAGATAAAATATGTAACATCCACGCGACCACAAAGTATGCGCACTGTAGTTCAAAATTTTCTACATTTTATACACAATAGTATCAATATATTTTTTTTCTTTTCTATATTTGCCTATTTGACATAGTTACAAAACCTACCCCTCCCCTTCTTCCCCTGAAAGGGGAAGACATAAAACATCGCTAACAAATCCACTTATCTGCCATCAAATTCCCCTGGGTGACCAGGCTACCATGTTCCTATATGCTTAGGTTTTTCAACAGGAAGCTTTCTCCATCTCTAAACTGCCATGGCCCGAGGCAGATGCTTCCACTCCACTAGTTTCTTCTTCTCTTTTAAGCTCGTTTAAAGCATTTTTTGCATAAACAGTAAAAGCAACTGTGGTTATAATTGCAACAATTAAGGATATAATGTTGTATATGATCTCAACTGTAGTCAAGTGATAGTTCCCATACTTAACATCTGCAAATGTCCTTATTAAGCGACCACTGCACAAGAAAATAGCAGAAATGGTTGAAAAAATAGTTTATATTTTATTTCTAAAGATCAACATTTGACTGGCAATAGCCAAGCATGGTTAGCTGAAATATCTCATGGGCATGCCTTGTGTGCAAATGTATGGATATCAGAACGAACTTTACTTTGATGAGATTTACCACTAATACTTAACAGAAATCGGAAAACATAAAGCATTACGTTTTCTTCAGTAATAAATTCCCTTGGAATTTGATGGTTCAAAAGTTATCATAGACAGAGGATAGAGAACCGACCTGTAGATGTAAATGAAAGCTTCTGGCACCATTCCAGCAACTGATCCGCATAAGTAGGGCCAAAATGTCATACTGGTAACCACAATTGCATAGTTGAAGATTGTGTACGGAAAGGGTGAAACCCTAAAGAGAGCAACCACTCGAAATTGATGGAACCAACTACCTTCCCCAGCAAGTCTAATCATTGCAGCATTCCGGGGCCATCTCTTTAACCATTGCTGCCCACATAACCAATGACATATCACAGGCATATAAATGTAGTATTATTTTAAAACATAAAACAAAAATGAAAAGAAAAACTCTCTTCAACAAGTCATCATCAGTTAGAAAAAATGAAAACCTTACATGGATGCGGTCACGGAAAAACAGACCAATCAAATATGGCAGGGACCATTCCAATAGTTGTTCCAAACCATGATTATAACAAACCCAAAGCCAAACCAAAAATCATTCCAGCCAACCACATGGAAGGGCCAGAAGGTATTAAGACCACAGGGAACAAAGCGAGAGAAGCAACAAGAACAAGGGCAAGAACAGGACGGCCAAAGGCAGTGGCTTCCCACTGCAATATTGGCAAGAGAACCTGCCATATATTAAAAAGCTTCAGGTATTAAGAAAAAATATAAGATTTTGAATCCGCTGAACAACCAAACAAAGTATATAATTACAAACAGGACAATGGTGAGTTGACTATAACATGTTATATAAGATCCAAGGAAAGAAGAGTTAATAGGAAATACCTTTTCAAAAAGAAATGGCATCCCCCATTTTAAGAAAATGAGAAGAAATATAATGATAACAAGGCACCCAGCTAAGGCTCTAATCCACCACAAAAAAGATTTAACTCTTGTTTCTGATTGTGGCTGCAAGATATCAGCTTCTGCCGTCCTTGTTCGTTGGATATAACCAGCCGAACGTATTCACTGTCTTCTCTCACACGATACACTGAGGTTGAATGCTTCCCTAACTCTTCGGAAGTGTTTGTCATCATTAATGAGACCCCAGAGGCAGTAGAAAGCGCTATTAAATTCAACTGAAAATTATTAAAGTGTCAAGTAAGATAAGATACACATATGAAACCCTTCCCATATGAGAAAAGTTACATGAAAATGATCAGAAGTTTATAGGGGGAGAAAAGGTGAAATATTCAGCATCAAAATTTAAATGAGAATCCTGAACCATTCATGCCAAGGGCAAGTACTACCTATATCACACCCTAAATCATATGATATTCTATGAGAATTCCACTAGTGACAGATGTAAGAAGGAAATTGGTACTTACTATATCTAGATTTTATCTATTACAATTATAGTTTAGGAGTTTGATGATTAGGGGTTTAATTATCTTGTCATTGCAGTATTTATTCCCTTACAGCCTTTTGTCATGTGATTGCTTAAATGATAGGCCGTCTATAATGGAGATTTAGAGTTCTTGGTGTATGATAAGAACAAAGACTTGAGTTTGAACTGCTTTGCCTCTCTCCTTCTCCTCTATCTATTTTAGTTTTTCTTCCCTAGACCCTTCTTTTTCCTATTTTATTTTGGAATTATAGCAAACTTCAATGTCAATGATCACTGTTGTCCTTGGAGCACGACCATGTGCAACAATCACCATGTGTGAAGCCCCGATGACAAATCTGCAGGGTCTCATGTGTAGCCCCATGCACCATAACCCAGCCAATACCTCTTTCATTGGTCATCTCTGACTGTTGTTCCATTGAACTCAAAACAATGTGCACATGGCACCAGATTCAGTCTCACCACTGGTTGTCGTCTCTGCTCCTCCGTGTCTGTTTCGATAAACCAAACATATCAATTGGCTACACATCCCCGATATCCTTCTGGTCAAATGCCACCAAGTTCACATGTGATAAATCCAATCTGAATCGACTGTAACTTATCTGAATCTTCTGGAGTTACAAGAGTGACAGTAATCACTCAACATTAGCTGAAATTTCCTAACTCACAGTACCAAGAATTTATTGAGAACTGATGAAATTACCTTATTCTGCCTGATACAAACATGATCCACCCTTGTTATGCTCAAATCAAACACAACACCCAGTTTAATCTCAAACCAGCTTTTACAAACAAGAAGGAAAAATATAGTTTTGTTGCAGCCATCTTCAGAATTGAGTTTTTAGCAACTACAGAACAACTTTGGGCTTTTGTTCACCCTTCTTAAAGCCATCAATGCCTAGTTTACCTAGTCTGGAGGATGCAGATCCCATGCAAGAAAGACAGTCGCTTTTATTCCCAGATCTTGATTAGCATCAAACCACTCTTGTCATGGAGAGGATCTAATGTTGACAATTATATTCTTGTCATTGAGACTCTCACCCATTGATTTCATAATTCCTCATCAATTTAACCGTGCAGCTCAAACTAAAGAATTGTTGATCTTGTAGCTTCCAAAATCAAAACAAAAACCATTAATGTTACAAAACCTGAACACAAGTTTCATACAATCTGGGAAGAATAATGGCGTAGGTGCAACCATGAAAGTGAAGAAATTAAGGACATCATGTTTGTATCGTTAGAATTAGAATTTAGGATTTACTTAAAATTTAGACTCTTTGAAGAATTTAATTATTATGTTTTTGCAGTATATATTAGTTTTTAGGTATTTGATTACTTTGAGATTGCGTACAATACAAATAGACCTTATTGTAATGGATTTTAGAGTTTTTGGCATTTTGACTTAAAATGCAGAGCACTTCTCTTTCTTTTTCTTTGTCTATCCTAACTTCTTATTCTTATATCTCTCTCTTCTTCTCCAGATTCATAGACGAAATGCTCAGATAATTTGCAATAACATCATTAAATACATAATCAAGGGCAACTGGGTAAAGCAGAATAAGGAATGTTACTACTTTGGTGACTGTCCAATGACACCTTTGACAGCCTAAAAAAAAGATTCAAGAAGCTTTGCACCTTTGACCATAAAGTGTCAACTTTAAAACCCTCGCTTCTCTTGAAAACATTTTGTCTCTCCCCTCAACTTACCAGTCAAAGAAAATAGTTTCTGTTCTGATTTTGATTAGCATTTTCAAAATCAGTAAACACAGAATAGTTGCAACAAAAGGGGCAAAAGTAAAGGGGATGATGTTAAACATTTTCATGAAGTGAGGAAGAGAATAAGCCACTTACAGGAAACTGCCAGAGGCGCTACTCTTCTAACTTATATCTCTATGTGCTAAGTGCTAAGTTGAACGGCACAGCAAACAGCAGCTTCATCGCATTTGGATAAATAATTGATAAGTACGCTGTGAATACATGTTTGAAAAATTAGAGTTTGCATTTGCTGAAGTAAGAATCCCTGAAGTATATATTTTCATTACCCGACCTCAAGAAAGTGGAATTTAAGAGCAAGTAGCAGAAATCAACGACTGCCCAAGATCATAGATAGATAGATAGAAAACATTGATGCTTGTCCTGAAGACAACTAGGGTTTCGTATCACAGCATGGGAAGCACGAATTACTGAAATTAACAAGCGGAAAAGAAAAGAAAAGAATCAATCTACGCACTTTACCTACGGCTGTTTCTAGTGGAGCCGAGCTGAGGAGTTTGATTGAGTTGGACCACCGCAGCCGGAAAAGCTGGCTGCTAGCAGTCGGCGGGATTGCTAGTTGTAGCTTTGTTCCGAAATTATCCTTTTCAACCACCCCACGCCAGGAGAAAGTGTAAGGTCTCAGAAACCAAATAGAAAAGAGTAAATAATATCTTCGTCTTCAGTAATATCTCTTCGTTTTCTTTCAATTTACTTCTTTATAAAACTTATTATGCGTACGTGGACCGTGGACCCAGCAATGGCATAGTCCGCCAACCCAACAGGACTTTTGTTAATTGGTCAACACTATACCTCAAATTTTTTTTTCTTTCCAAGAGTCACTCTACCTCAAATAAATTAAAAGGAGTGCTACTAAACGAACTCTAAAATTAATTGAGTACATCCTAATATTTTAATTAAAAAGTTAAATACTTTTTTGATCACTCGTTTTACATGAAAATTCAATTTGGTCACTGAGTACAAAATTTAGCCAAATTGGTCATCGTGTTTTCCAAAGTTTACAATTTATAGACATTTTGTTATCTTTAGTTCAGTGCAGTTTTTCATTTTTTTTAGGAAGCACTTTCAATCTTCTTCCTCTAACTCAACAAGTTAGGTATATTATGTTATTAGGGTTTAGTGTGAGGGTGGAGGAGACGATGTTATGAATGAGGTGTTGCTATGTCCGGTGGAGGAGATGACGACGGTGATTCACAATTCAATATATCTTTTTTGTCATTTTATATTAGAGTAAATTAGTAATTCAATAAATGGTTTGGTAGTAGGGTGTACTCGTTTAATTTTAGAGTTCGTTTAGCAGCACTCATTAAAAAATGCAAAGGAACTTATAACTCAAGAATCCTTGCATCCAAGGTCCTTTATTGGAATTTCACTCCCACAATATCGCTTGTATAAAAAAATAAAAAAATAAAAAGAGGTCCCCTCCCAGTAGGGGTAGGCATCAATCTGGCTGAACCAAACCGTTATTACCGGTTTGGTTTGGTTTTGACCAAGAAAAAGTCAAATGGTTTAAAAACCGAATCGGATTGTATATGGTTTGGTTTGGTTTGATTTTAAACTTTTGTAAACCGGCCTAAACCAAATCGGACCGTTTATGTGTATATTTATTTATTTATATTATATTTTACATGTGTAATTAGGGGTGACAATTTCCGATACGACTCGTTACACAACGCGAAACCTGCATGAAAAAAACACAACCCGAACTTGCACGATTAATAATTGGATAATTTTTAGGTCAACCCATTGTGACATGTTTATTAAACGAGTGGGTTTTGAGTCAACCCACCCACCCGCTAAAATACCTGTTTAACTAGTTTATTAAACGGGTCATGGTATTCCGTGTAATACCTTCCAACCTGCTAAAAAATGTAAGAAAATGGAGACTTAAACACACAAGGGGTTGGCACGTTACACAACTTGAAACATGCACAGAAAAAACACGACTTGAACCTGCACGATTAATAATTGGGTAATTTTCGGGTCAACCCATTATGACCTGTTTATTAAACGAGTGGGTTTTGGGTCAACCTGCCAACCCACTAAAATACCTGTTTAGAAATTGCCTTTGTCAAAATATATGCGAATTGATCCTCGGACTTTAAGAAAGGAAACTTAATCACTTTAGCTTTGAGCTTCTGTTTGATATAATGTCAATCTACCTCAACATGTTTGGTGCGATCATGTTGAACTGGATTCTGTGTAATAGCTATTGCAGTCTTATTGTCACAAAAGAGATTCATTACAGATGTAGGTTTATACTCAAGTTTAGTAAGCAACCTCTTTAACCAAATGAATTTGCAAATTCCTTTAGTCATACCTCTGAATTCGGCTTCTGCACTGGATAAGGCGATCACCTTCTATTTCTTGCTTCTCCATGTAACCAAATTATCTCCTAAGAATGTGAAGTAACTGGATGTGGATTTCCTATCTGTTATACTTCCTGCCCAATTTGCATCTGTGTAACCATCAACATTCAAATGACCATGTTTTGAGAACATAAGTCATTTTTCATGTGTAGACTTTAAATATCTAAGTATCTGAATAACAACATTCATGTGGTCTTCACTCCGAGAATGCATAAATTGATTGACTACGCTCACCTCATAAGCAATGTCTGGCCTAGTATGAGACAAGTAAATCAATCTTCCCACTAACCTCTGGTATCTTTCTTTGTTAGTTAGAACTTGATCTGGGTATTCTCCAAGATGATGATTTTGAACAATATGAGTGTATACAGGTTTGCAATCTAGCATTCCTATTTCTGTCAATAAGTCCAAGACATGTTTCCTTTGAGAAAGAAATATGCCTTGTTGTGATCGGGCCACCTCAATCCCCAAGAAATATTTGAGTCCACCTAGATTCCTTATCTCAAATTCAGTAGCCAAATAGTCTTGTAGTTGAGATATTTCATGTTTATCATTCCCAGTAATAATCATGTCGTCAACATAGATTACTAAAGTTGTTACCTTCCCTTTCTGATGTTTCAAGAACAAAGTATGATTTGAGATGCTCTGTCTAAAACCATTGTTCTTCATTGCCATGGTGAACCGTCCAAACCATGCATGTGGTGACTGTTTCAATCCATACAACGCCTTTTGTAATTTACATATTGTTCCAGTCTTAGTAGTATTATATCTAGGAGGAATGTCCATATACACTTCCCTCGTGAGTTCTCCATGTAGGAAGACATTCTTTACATCAAACTGGTGTAGTGGCCAATCCAAATTAGCTGCGAGGGACAATAAGACTCTGACTATGTTCAATTTTGCAACAGGTGCAAAGGTTTCTTCATAATCTACACCGTAAGTATGTGTGTACCTTTTCGCCACAAGTCTTGCCGTGTATTGCTCGATAGATCCATCATCGTTGTGTTTTATGGTAAACACCTATCTACATCTGACAATATTTTTTTTTCCCATGGTAAAGTTTTCAATGTCCAAGTCTAATTCTTTTTAATAGCTTTCATTTGTTTCTTTATAGCTTGAACCCACTTAAGATCTTTAAATGCTTCAGCAACCTTGGTTGGGATATGAATAGCAAACAACTGATGCACAAAGGCCTTGAGTGGTTCAGACAGCTTCTCAGTAGTTACATGATTCGCAATTGGATACTTTGATGTATTGCCAATGTCAAGTGAATAACGATTTGGTGTCTTTCCACGATTCTGCCTAAAAGGTAATTGGTATCAAATAGATTTATCCTTTAAATTCACAAGTGTAGTAGGAGTAGTTACCTTAAGGATATTCTCAGGAGATTGGTCTATTGGTACTGTTGAGTTAGAATGGGGGTCTTCATCTTGTTGTTCTGTATTGTTTGTAGGTGTGGGACTCGGATCAGAAACATCTTTGCAGAGATCAGGTGGGTTAAGCGATTGATCACTATGAATGGGCAATTGATTGCTTTTCGGTAGAGAGTAATCTTGTGTTCCAGACTCGGGACTATCGATCATTTTTGTGTAGAGGATAATTTCTTCGTTTTCCAAGTTGCTCCAATTCTGCTCTTCACTTCGTATCTCTCCATGAAGCATAGAATTAGATGATGGGTTATGGAAGAATAACTCAGATTACAGAAATGTCACATCCAAAGTGACATAGGTACATCGGGTAGGAGGGTGATAACAACGGTAGCATTTCTGATGAGTAGCATAACCCACAAAAACACAACGAAGCGCACAGGGATCAAGTTTGCTAGGTTGATTTTTGTGGAGATGAATGAAAGCCACACATATAAAGATTCAGGGTGTAAATACCAAAACAGAAGGCAGAGGCCCGTGTTGCGCAAGCACTTGTAAGGAAGTTTTAAATGTCAATACAATATAAGGCATGCGGTTGATCAGGTGAACTGTGGTGACAATAACATCATCCTAGTAATGAAGAGGAACATGAGCACCAATCAGAAGTGCTTGGGCGATTTTAAGAAGATGTCGATTCTTTCGTTTAGCAACACCATTTTGTTGTGGTGTCTGAGGACAAGTCGTCTCATGGATAATTTCATGTTGTTGGAAGTAAGCCTGAAAGTCATGATTGAAAAATTCTCCATCATTGTCTGAGCTAAGAATTTGTATTTGAGCATTGAACTGAGTTTTCATCTGTTTGTGGAAGAACTGAAAACGGAAAAACACTTCGTTTTTATTCTTCAGCAAATAAAGTCATGTCATCCGTGTACAATCATCTACGAATGTGACAAACCATCGAACACCAGAAGGAGCAGTGATAGGTGAAAGTCCTCAGACATCAGAGTGAATTAACGTAAATGGAGTAGTACACTTGTTCATACTCAATGGATAAGGCACACTAGGGGTAGGCATTCAAACCGACGAACTGAAAATTAGAGCCGAACTGCACCCAAAAAACCAAAAAAAATTAAAGTCAACAAGTGGTCAAAAAATCGAATTGTACTGGTTCCAATTTCGGTTCCATACCTCTAAAAACCGAACTAGACCGGCTTTAATATAATTAATTTTTATAAATACATTGGGCCTTATTTTACCTCAACCTTCCACTCTTAGCTTGAAGCCCAAAGAATTGGGCCTAAACCTGTCATCTATATCTCAAGCCCAACAGCTTATATTTTAATTTTTTTTAGTAGCCCACCTTTTTTAATGAATATTACCTCAGCCAAAATTCAAACTCTAGCCTCTCTCTCTCTCTCTCTCTCTCTCTCTCTATCTCTCTCTCATTCTTCCAAATCCAAACCTTAGCAGCGTGCTTTTTTTTTCCTTCCATTTTCTCTCTTTCTCCCTTTTTCTTTTTTCTTCTCTCTTTCTCTCCTGAAGAAAACCTAGCCTCAACTTCTTCTTCTCTTCTTCTCCTCTTCCTCTCCTCTCCTCTCTATCTGATTTCTCTTTTTGTTTCTTACTCTCCTTTAGTGCATCGATTCGATCTGTTTTGCTAGATAGTTTTTTTTTGGGTATCTTTTAAGGTTTAGATCTGGTTTTTCTTGTACTGATTCGTCGATTCGCTCTCAGCTCAGCAGCAATGACAGTGACGTTCCTCCTGCCAGATGCTTACTCAGGTTAGTGTCTCAGAGCATATCCATATTTAATGTTAGCAAGGTTTTTGTTTTTGTTTTTTATTGAAATTTGTTTTTTTTTTTTTTTTTTTTTTTTTTTTTTTCAACCATTGTGCCGAGAAATGACTAACGAGGTGGTCTTGATGGAGACGAAGGTGATGACTTGCCCCTAAAACTCATCACTCAAGATGGTCTTGATGGAGACGAAGCACCCAATGACCAACTCCTCAGCATTGCTATCATCCATGGCCATGCCCCTTATTTTTTTTTGTTTTTCCCCAAATTGAAGTGTTCTGATTTGTGATACAAAGCCCAGCCCTAGGGCACACGGTGACTTTGGCCAAAATACAACTGTCACATGTGAAGTTGAGTCTTTAAAACTTGAGAATAAATTTGGTATAAGATGCTTTATATAATTAAAAGACAGATGTCCTAATTGACGGTGTCAAAACCATGTTTGCTTTTGTTTGCTATCAGAGGGATGCGTCACACTATTAGTCATGCCGAGATTGAAGTCATCTACATAATATAGCCTCCATCTCTTAGTACTACAACCAAGAATTTCCTAAGTGTGAATATTCTGAAGCAAACAAAAATTCGGGTAAATGAGTACACAACAATTCAATTGTTCAGTAAGTTGACTAATGAACATCAATTTATTAGATAAAGATGGAACAAGTAAAGTATTAAATAGTGAGAGAGAGGATGAGAATGCAACAATGTCAACCCCTGTCACAGGATAAGTAACTTCATTGGCGTTAGCAATACAAGTTCGTCGGGGTTGTGTAGTATTCATAAAATCATCAAGATCAAAAGTCATATGATCAATTGCACTGGAATCAATTATCTAACTCCTGGAATCAATCTTATCCGAAGTATGAAATCCAAAACCAGTACCATTACTGGTCGCATCGCGTTTTGTTCGACCTTTGAGAGTAGCCCACCATTCGAGGTAGCCATGCAATTTAAAACAAGTCGCACGAGTGTGTCTCGGATCACCACAAATGTGTCGGGTTGTTAGTCGGGAAGTCATAATCTGTGCAGCGGAAGATGTATATGATACAGGTTTAGTAGGAATCAAGATCGGGATTTGAGCTTGAGTCAGGGTCGGAGTCGAAGTAGGGATCTGGGTATGAATCATAGACAAATTCGGTGTCGGTGTCGGGGTCATCATCGGAGTTAGGGTCAGGGTCGGGGTCGTCGTAGTTGAGGTCGGGGTCGTCAAAATAGGATCCTGATTTAGGATCGGGCTCGAGGATTTAGGATCGGGTTTGAAGTCGAAGTTTGCATCTGCAGGAGCTGAGCCACCTGGGTACTCAACTCGACTATGATTGGTTGAGAAGGAGAGGAGGAGTCAGTGGTGCTACTTTCATGAGGGTTGAAATTAAATTCCAAGATCGCCGCTCTGATATCATGCTAAAATATGAAACCTAATATGAGAATATTTGTTTGTGGAAATTTTTTATGTATTCTTCTCCTCGTAGGAGGTCATATTTATAATACAACAGAACTTTAATGGGCAAGTAAATAATAAATTCATATTTCTATTTACAGTAGGAAATCAGGAATTAAAGTAAATCAAATATTATTATAATGGGAATCCTTCGTGTGTAAGGAAAGAGAGTCAATGGTCCACAAGTGACGCCAACAGGTGCCACACAGCAGTGCGTTGGAGCCACTAACTAAGTAGACGACCACCACAATTGCGTTCATGATCATGATGTTCGACTACAATAGCAGATCATTGTAGTCGTAATAATTTGAAGGGAACGACAAAGCTTATGAGGTTATTCATTTCATCATGCGTACGTGGTCATGAATGTATTCTTTTGGTTTCTTCCTTCTTGTTGTAATTGCTGAGTAAATAATATCTAATGTTGTGTGATAGAGGGTGTATCATGAATATTTTTTTATAGTTAAATAGGGTGCACTTAATTAATTGTATATTTTAATTTAAATATTAATGTGTACTTAAATCATACGGTGTACTCAGTTAATTTTAGAGTTCGTTTAACACCATCAAAAAAAGCCCTAAAACTTGTCACAAATAAATAAATAAATGAAACTTGTCACGTGATAAATCTACTTATACAAGACAACTCGTCTGTTCCCACAGGTCACTTGGAGGAAGGACGCTATTGGGAACAACTCCTGTACCCTTTTACTCTGTAGGAGATATTTTTGAAAATAGGGCATCTTTCCTCAAAACAGGTCTAGATGGAGCAGAGCCAAAATATAACAGGCAACAAATTTTCCAAGTTGCTGATGCCAAATCGGTGGGGTCGTTGATAAGGTCATTGGGTGCTCTAACATGCACCAAAAGATCCAGATGCTAAGCAGCCTCGAGCTCATGGAGATATGATAGGGAAAAGGCACATCAAAGACGGCAACAAATTACACCGTGCTTCTCTAGGCATGCTGTATTAACCAAATTCTATTTTACTTCCACAAACATTGCATTCAGAAAATAAAGGTATATGAGATTTTGTGCTAAGAACAAATTACTATGTAATGAGGAGAAAAGAAAAGAAAGAAAAAAAAAATTGTGCTCCATCAGAGTTGTTTCTTTAATCCTCTTCATTGTCAGAACTTGCATATGCTAATCCTAACAAACTTTTGGCTGTAGTTTTCCCTTCACACTCGCCCTTTATTCTGTGTGACGACGACACATGCACTTTGTCCTTCACTTGGTCATTTTCAGACTCAAGATTTGTCGAAGCACTAACAATCAAATTTGGGTGGGACTGATTACCATCGGATCTGCTTGAAACTTTATGCCTCTTGGGTTTAATTTCAATGACCTTTTTCAGTAGATCTTGCTGTCTGCATTTCAAAAACCAAAAATACACATATATGAGAAGAAGTAGGGAACTTGAACATGTCAATCAGAAAAATCACTGGCTATAGCATGTCAGTTCTATTATTTGGTTTGAAGATAGTCATACCTGATCCCACTCTTTTGCTTGGGCTCAACACGAAGTGGCAAGGGAACCGATGCAGGTGAAGAATCTGCCAGACTTGCAGCTTTGTGTTCATTGGTTAAGGAAGACAAGAGAGAAGAGGGAGAGGAGAGAGATGTAATAATCCAATGTCTGGAACCACATGACAATAATCACCATTCAATCTCACAAATTCTAATGCAACAGTTTGTCATGACATGAGGACAGCACCAAGGGAGCTAATAATATTTTACCAAGACTGGGAAATATTCAAAATATTATTTCTGAAGTGGTCATTAACATACAGTGTTAATGAAAGTAAGTATATATATACATATATATATATATATGTTAAATGATTAATATGAAGCAAAACATACAGATGATATCACATCAGAATATAAAATAAGTAGGTAAAATTAGACCTACGCCCCCTCAACTTAGGGTCTCTCTCGCTTTGCCAACTGAGGGGGCATATGAGTATATTTCCCCAGCAAACATATACTACAAGACAACTTGATAATCTTTTTGGGAATGAGCAAACAGGGAGTTACTTAGACAAAAAGTCCTCTAACAGGTGTAAAATACGACCCACTAAGAATAGAAATCAACCCTAAATCATCATCACCTAATGTGCATATGACCACTGAATTGAGTTAGGCGGGACATGACAATTAAGATTAACTGAAAAGAATCACATAGAGGAATAAGATAAACAATGGCATTTAAGTTCTACAGGAATATGCACTAAAATGCTCATAACCAACAACTTACGTGCAGACTATGCATGCAGAGAGACTAGAAGAAATTTCATGAAAGGATATCTTAAATGCAGCAAATGCTCGCTTCTCAGTGCGGCGAAGGAGGCGCTCTGCATCCTCCTCAGCTTCCATCTGCTCCTTGAGATATAGTAGGTCATCACTGTCCAAGGCTGTATACTCAAACTTACAACAGATTGCGATAAAGTAAAGAGCTAAACAAACACAGATTCAGAAAGCAGTTGCCTTGTGCCTGGATACACACACACAAAGCACAAGAGAGAGAGAGAGAGAGAGAGAGAGTGTATACTCAAACTTACAACAGATTGCGATAAAGTAAAGAGCTAAACAAACACAGATTCAGAAAGCAGTTGCCTTGTGCCTGGATACACACAGGCAAAACGAGAGAGAGAGAGAGAGAGAGGAGGAGAGAGAGAGGAGAGAGGAGAGAGAGAGAGAGAGAGAGGGTACCGCCTCGGCCATGAAGGTATCCTCCGCGTTCTCCTGCAAACCTCTTGCATCTGGCTTGCATCAACCACCCAGTAGAAGAAGCCAAGATCCCTGCCAGGGCATGTTATCAGAAAACTCCCCTCACAGTTTGAAGCAAACAGTCATAGATGTGATTGAGGCTCCCCCCCGAATATTTGGGTTTACCAATGGGAAAACTGTGCCTTAATAAAGAGCAATGTGAAAGTCAGAGGTTGGCAGGGGCGTGGGGCTATTGAGTAGTGTTGTGGCCACTCAAATATTTGGGTTTACAAATGCGAGGTAATCCGAGATCCGATAGGTTCTGGAATTAAATGATCGAGAATGTTGAGAGGCGTTTGCAGAGCTGGAAAGGAGCTCTCTTGTCAAGAGGGGGCAATTTAATTCAAGCAGTTTTGGGAAGTTAACACTAATTCCGTGAAGGTGCAGTCTTTTGTGAGCAGGTGTAGGGGAAAACAAAACAACAGGCGTGTCCAAGGTAGCTACATGAAACAACAGACCTATCAAGATTACAGCATTCCAATCTAAATAAATAATATGAAAGCTACTCTAAATTCTAACAAAGTACAAGCCCACAATGACGTGCATAATCGAATCCGATCCCACAACTTCTCAACCTCATCCCCTTTAGAATCCTCCAAAACTCTCCTAGTTCTCTCCCCCCAAATCAATTTTCAATGACTAACTAATTCTAGTTGCCCTTACAAATAAAAAGCATAACTGAACACAAAGATGTAGAATAGCTATCATTCATATAAGAGATCTCAGCACTAAGCAACTAACGCAAAATATATTTCATGATACAGAATTTGATAACTGCAATAGCTATCATTTCATATAAGAGATCTCAGCACTAAACAACTAATGCAAAATATATTTCACAATACATAATTTAATAACTGCAATTATATGGATTAAGAGAAATAGGGATCTAGTTGAATAAATGTCCGCTGAATATAAAAAATAATTATAAAAAAATATTCAGCTAGATCCCTTAAGAGAAATTCAGCTCCATGTTATAAATGTAAAAAATATAATATTATTAATTTGGGGCTTGAATATTTGTGAGAAAAATGTAGTATTATATGGATTAAGAGAAATAGGGAAATAGCGAATATGAAATGAGAGAAGCATGTTATAGGTGAGGTTGGATAGTAAGAAAGAATAATATAAAACAAGTACAAGTGCTAATAATACCAAAAAACAAAAAAACAAAAAAAACAAAAACAAAAAGAGTTCACAACAAAAGCTGTGGCGTCGGTGGTTAGGGTGCTGTCCATCATACAGGAGTGCATGGTTTCAAATCTTGATGTGCACGAATATTTTTCTACCATTTTGGTGAGGAGATTAAGTCGCGATGAAAATGACCAATTAAAGTGTCTATTGGAAGGAAAATATCGGATCCCAAAATTTTGGCGAAATATCAACGATAAAAAAAAAACCTGATAAATAGATAGTATACTGCTAAAATATTGGCCCTAAAAAAAGCGAAATTATCGTCTAAATTGTCTATATTTAAGACTGATTATCATGAATACTATTTTGGACGCTGATGATGTCAAGCAATGAATTTCCAACGTTGCCTAAAAGCTCTGAAGGCCTAAACGTATGAATCCCAGTGGTGGTGGGTGGGGAGTGCACAATTTTTGCTCATTTCATCCTAACAATTTTTACCAAGCGCAGTGTAGAATCCAAAAAATGGAATTGTAACAGTTGAAATGTTTAGCCAATTAGATATCTGAGAAAAAATAGATTACAAATCCCATAATATTAGAATTGAAATTGAATTGAAAATGAAATTTTATTTCTATCAAAAGAATGCAAAACTTGAATCCTATTATTTCCTTCTTCCAGAAGCTAATCAGCGTCAAATAAAGAGAGAAGAAGAAGAAAAAACAAGAAAAAGACGGAAAAAATGCGCTAACCTTGGCAACCATGCGTTGGAATGTGATGTCTTCATCGTCTATCTTATCTTTCCCTTTCCCCCATTTCTTATCTGCCACAATCAATCCAAGAATGATTAATTGATCAAATTAAAACCGGAAAACATTTAACAACTTGAGGAAAAAAAAACCTTTTGGGTCGGAGAGATTGGTGTACTCTCGAACTTCTCTGCCTGCCATTGCGCTCACTTTAAAAAATAAACGATATATGATTATGAAAAATTCTTAAAGCGGAAAGTTTCTCTTGATTCAGAAGAGTAAAGCAAAAGGCTGCACCATAAATAAAACAGGAAGAAAATTCATAAAGCCGCAGTAATACGATAATACAAAGATCAATAAAAATTTCAAAATCCGAAAGCAGGAGCTTTCTTTCTTCCTCTTGCTCTTTTTTTTTTTCCAAGTAAATCCATTTTTTTACTAGCTCTCTTTCTGCATATCGAAGATTTGGTCCCATCCACCTTCACATTCTCAGCCACATCATCATACTTTTCGAAGTGATCCCATACCTCTGATTTTCTATGGATGATTATCTAGTCCCGGAAGGAGGTAATTGTGGAAGACCACCCTGTTGAGGTGGTTTTTGGGCTTAAGGTTGGGACTGAATTGGTGTTTGGACTTGAGGTTGGGGAATTGGTATAGTAGGTGACGGTGATGATGTGGATGCAGAAGAAGAACATGCGTCATTGCCACTAGGCAAGTGTTCAAATAGGTCCATCTCTCCTTTAATAAAAACAGAAACTAACCAATAAAAACAGACCTAGCATGCAGCATAACCTATTTAACAAAAAGAAACATAATCATAATTAATACAGCAGCATAACAACAGAATAGCAGCAGCAGAAACAGAACCTAGTAGTTTCACAGAACCTAATTTCATAAAACAGAATTAATTTAGCAAAACAGAACCGCCAAGGACAGAACCAAATAATCACAACAGTATAATTTAACAGAAGAACCTAATTGGTAGCAGCCCTAATTAGTATAATGAAACTAACAGTTCATAATTTCTTTGTCAATTTCAAATAAGCATCACGACACAGCATAACCTAATTGGTAGCAGCCCTAATTCGACAACCCTAAACCCTTAACAGAAAAAATATCTCATCACATCAACCTCAACCACCAAATCGACAAGCCTAATTTAAAAGAAAAAAACTATAAATTTAATTTAGAATAAACCCTAAATTCAAAGGAAGATGATGCTCTCACCTTTAACTGATAAAGAGAGAAACCCACAGAAGAAATCGCAGGAGAGGAATAGATGTTGTCGGCGATCAGAAACTGAGACTTAGAAACATAGAAAAATCGAGATAAGAAGAGAGAGCAAAAAGAGAGTTAGCGGAGCAAAGAAGCGACGGGGAAAAAATAGAACAGATAAGAGAGAGAGAAGCTAACCTGCGTGCAGGGCTTGAGGCGGCGCGGTGGCTGATCGACTGAGAGTGAGAGGATCGAAGTAGAGAAAATAGAGAGAGAGAGGGGTTTCGGCGGAGAAGAGAGAACCTGCGAGAGAGAAGAGAGAGGAATGAAAACCTAACCTCACGCATTGGGCTGATTTGGGTGTAATCTTGTGCTTCCCGACATATTGTAATCTCTACAAACATCGAATTAAAAACTGCCACATGCATTAAATAGAATATCGAATTAAACTTGTGACTGAAATGGCTTTTATTTAATCAATGTATTTTAGGAAAAATAGTACCATTATTGATATCATTGTTATGAACCTAGTAAGTATGGATTTAGTAAAGTTGAACTACAGATTAATAGGCAGTATGCCGTAAGTTCTAATTATCTCCATTTTGGGGAATTGTGCTTCTTTTATAGACCTTGGGAGGTGTGCAAGTTGTGTAGAATTTCGATGTGAGACTGTAGACATTGATTATGGGCTTGCCACGTGTCCTAGAGGAGGAGGTTGCCCTAATCGTTGGATCGGTAGGCTGGGTGCCGAATAAATGTGCCGAAGGCTACCATAGACCCAATCTTGTCCATGCGTCCGATTTTCATTGGCCGCTCATTTTGGTATAAACACCTACCATAGCAAATTATACCATACCAAGAAATACCTACCATGATTCACCCCAATGACCCATCATTGTAATTATAAAATATTAGTGAATAGTGTAATCCATATGCCTATAAATACAAAGCATCAAGTATGAATGAAATACAATTGTTTTCTATTCCTCTAAATTCTCTCCACAATCCCCTAATTTTATAATACGTTATTAGCACGAATATCTTTAAAATACCAGCTGAAATATTCGATCAAATCCTTACCTTTCTCTCTTCTGTTTTGATAATCTTCCAAAACTCAAGAAGGAGAAACATGTGCCGACGTCAACGCCATGGTGGACTGTATGTACACACCAAAGTTGCTATTTCCTTTTGCTCCATTCTATAGCCACAACCAGTAGAAAAACATGTTGATAGAGATTTTGGAGATCCCATAACAGCAACATATCAGAAAGGACGATAAGTGCTGAAGCCTCTTGATGAGAATAGCAAACTCACCAAAAAAAGGATAAGCCTCTGTCCTTTATCTTCATTTATTATATTATTACTCTAATATCTACACTATTCAACTTATGACTAATCATCCCAAAGCAGCTAGTGTAGATGTGTTGAAGCTTGTGCAGGTGGAAGGAAGAAAAGCAGTTGAATTGGGCTAGCGTGACATATCCTTCTTTCCACTAACATATAATGATA